AGGTAGGTCATGTGCCTTTTATTCCAAGATTTATTAGACCATGGAAAAACGCTTGTGAATGTGCAAGGGTCAAATACCATCTTTTCCAATTAATTTCTTTGGGCCACATTTGTTGCAGGTGGATATGAATTCTGCACAGAAAGGGACAAAAGAATTAGGTGAGCATATTTATTCTTATTTTTTTTGTTTAAAAGGATAAGAATCATTAGTTTCTACATGTCTTTTTAACCCAAAATAATCGACCAATAAAAGAAAATCAATAATTATTTGTAGAATAGGCCATCCACTAGATATTCTTGTTAGTATAAAGCCGTACAAACTGATAATTGCGAACCAATTTAATAATTTGCTTCCACATTTCTTGTTGAGTTGTTATGTCGATTGTCGAATATAAAACAGTACTTTAATATCCCACGATCAAAATTTGAAAACTACAGCCAATGAACACTACCAGATCCAATGTGATCCTTGTTTGATTATCAAGTCTATAATTTTCAATAGTATGGTACAAGAGATAGGATAATATTTTACACTTCAATGTTGGTGACTGAATTCCATTTTATATCCAACAATTGAACAAGTCTACAGATAAGGCTAAAGTACAGAGAATATGTGAAAAGTTATTTGACCAATTAAAACAATTTTTGGGCATCAAATAATGGTTTTAAGAACGCATAAAATAAACATCATCACAGCTTGTGTCCAAATGGTGCCACAATTTTATTTTATTTTGTTGGTAAAATCTAAGGTAAAATAGAATAAGTGACTAGTCATATTCCTTTTTCCGTAATTCGAAAACGTGATTCTACCACTGTTTAAACCATATTTGTCAGTGTGGCTATACAGAATTTGGGGGGGGGGGGGGGGGGGAATACATATTTAAGCAACAATACGATCTATTATAATGACATAATGGTGACGGCTTATTGACAACTATGAAAAAGCACATTTATAAATGATAATTAGGTTAGGTTAACAACAAGTTGACAAATGATTAAAAATCAATCTTTTAGAAATGCAAACAGAAATATAAATAGAGGAGAGGGGACCTCTTTTTGTGACATTTTAGGTGTTTATCATCAACCACTACGTATGTCGTGGAAGCCCATTTGACTTAATCTTATGTTTTTTTTAAACTATAAATTCCAATGATACTATTTTTCTTTCTTATATTAGTTATTCCCTTTTCTCCTCTCTAAATTAGGGTTCCATCATTTCTACCATAAACATGCCGGCTATTAGAAATCTTGCTACAACAAGCTCTTAGATTTTGATGATCTACAACATAAGAATTATGAAGTGGAAAGGTAAATTAAAAGTCTCTTATTCTTTTTTATTTTTCTCTTTGTAGTTAGCAGCATATGTAAATAGTAGAATGATGTTGGAATGGCTCAATCAAATCAAATTCCCCAAATATTTGTGTCATTTAATTTGATTGAGCCGTGCCAATATCATCTTAGCTATGCTCTTCTATCCTTTTTTATATTTTTGTTTTCCATTTTTTTGACAAACAATGGTGAAACTTATGTTGATCCTGATCAAGTTAAAAGATATACGTTTTGTATTGATACATATTGTCTCTAATAGAACAAGTAATATTTGAAGATGTCAATAGGTTTTATCTTTTTGTCATCTTCCCTTCAAGTATTGGATTTTTTTGGAAATTTCCTCATCCAGTGTCCAGTATCCGTATTGGGGCCCGACTAAATTCATATTCGCTCCGGAAAGTTACGGATTGGGAGTATAGCGCTCCCTAACAAAGGTGACTCTATACCAGAGTTCGAACAGAGACCTCTTTGTTAAGGATAAATAAGTACTTACCAGTTACCACTCCACCACAATCTTGTTGGACAAACAGTTTCAGTAGTTTGATGTTCATATTGTAGATGATATTTACCTAAATAGAACGTCGTCATTTGGCATAACACAAATATTGGGATAACATTAATGGATTATAATAGTACGTATTAAACTTTAAGAACTCTGGCATTCTGATATGAAATTTATAGCTTAAAACTAACATGAAATATGAGGAAAATTGTTCTTGGACCATAACAATTACTTAAATTTTTTCCTTTTCAAGAAATATATAGGAGTATGATTCTTAGCATATCATGGAACAATAACACCGCGTAATTTAGAATGTGAAGAGAAGTTTTAAGTAGTTGGATAACCTTTTTATGTTCTAGTGTAGTAAAGTTAAATGTATCAATTATCATTGTTTGTGGTGTCTAAGTAGGGGCACAGAAGATGATTATGATACCATAAGACTATTTTTATGGAGTATAACTTTGGTTGAACTCTTTTTGTAGAAGTATTTGTAGTGTCTTAACTAAAACTGTTACTACTATTTAATAATACTGTACTTCTTGTTTACAGTACTACTTAACAATTTATAAATCATGTTAGTTATTAGAAATAATTTTTGCAAACGAGGTTCACATTAAATATGGCTTTCGGGTTTGAGAAGTTTTATTGTGTGCCTCACACAACTTACATTAGTTGTGTGAGACTCCTCTTTCTCTCACAAATTTGTGGACCCCAAATCTTACACTTCTGGGTCCACAAAATCTGGGTCCACAAAATTGTGAGACAAAAAAAATACCTCATACAATTAGTGTCAGTTGTATGAGACACAAAATAAAATTTTTCGTAAAAACATGATCTCTCATTTACTGCCAAAAATTGCACGGTGCGGCCGCCCTGCATGAGGCTGGTATTAGCGGAATATCTTGTAATTGATGGTATTTAATAAATGGCTCCGACGTTCTTTCCTTTGTGTAGGCTTCAGCTACGATCTACCAATATGGTAGGATTCTGTGTCAAATATAACATTAATATAGTATAACATTATAGCTAAAAAATCTACCATTTTTGTCATACTATTTTGTACCAAATTGCAATTTTTTGAAAAATGATTTGTTGAACAAACAGACAAAGTATGTCAATTAGGTAATTTTTAATAAACAATTTAACGGCTAGGTTGCTTGCAAATAACACAAATCATGCTAATTTGGTGAAGTTTGAAGAACAATCACCAAGCACAAAATTATTCAACTGGGTAGGTTGTGAACAATTTAACAAATAGGTGAATGCACATAACAAAAACAAATTAAGTTACCAATTTGGTAGAGTTTCGTGAACAATTGAACATGCACAAAATCATGCCAACTGGATGTTGGCATGATTTTGTATAGACTTTGATGAACAATTTAACACATAGTTCAGTTGGCATGATTTTGTATAGACTTTGATGAACAATTTAACAGATAGTTCAATTGCAGATAACATAAAGTTATGCTAAATATGGTAGAATTTGGTGAATAATTGAACAAATACAAATCGTGCCAACTGGGTAGAGTTTGTGAACAATTAATAACATATGTAGAGTGAATATAACACAAACTAGATCTACCAATCCGGTATAAAGATCCCAGAAGAGCAATAACTGTGTGCTCGGGTCCGGAGGTATTTTTCAAATGGCACCAATTATCCGAAAACAATTTCGTTTTTGGATTACTTTAACTGTAATATATTTCTGCTCGTAAATCTCTCCTTCAATATTTTAATATTCTGATGCATGTTTTTGTAGTCTTTTCTCATTTAAATTTCGTAACTTGAGCAAGCTGATCAACGTTTGTTTAACTCTAATAACTAAGGTCGTAATAGCATGTTTTAAAACTTGAAGTTGAAATAATATCAACAGAAAAGTTACTCTTCAACATGAGCTGCAACGGTCAACAACTTTACTCGGTGGAAAGTTGAGCATGCTGATTGCTGAATAAATCATTTATGAAGAAGAATATACATAAAATTAATTATGTGAAATTGGAGTGACCCCTTTTATTTTTATTTTCCTTATGGTGATTCTGAAATCAATGACTGGCAGAAGAGATCATGTACAACTAAGAATTACAAGGGTTTGAGTGAAGATTGTTTTACAAAACATGCACTTCAGATTATATAGCTTCGTGTATGGGGACGTGAAGCAGCAAATCTATTATTTACCCCTTCTTTTCATTATTAGGCAATGAAGGCAGCAGCGGCGGAACCAGTATTTTCGTTAAGAAGTGTCAAAATATATAAAAATAAACATATTAGGAAATTAAGGGGAGTCAATACATAGTATATATACATATAATTTATTTTTTTATCTACCGACACAGTATATTTTTCCCGCGAAGTGACATCCCTACCTATAAAGTGGCTCCGCCACTGGAAGGCAGCATGAGGAGAGTAACTTAGGCTACTGCTACTGTAGGGATGACAATGGGGCAGGGCGGGGCGGATTTTGTTTTAACCCACAAAATCTCAATCCGTCCCGTCCCACCCGCTCTATTTTTTTTTTAAAAATTTTGAATTTTCTGCTCAAGCTGTTTAAGTTAGTTAATTATATTTACTTTCAAAACTAATTCATTTTCCTTTTTCTTTGGTATATATCAAATGGAATGTTTCATTTGGGATTTCAAATCTAGGTTACATTTAAGAGTTAAGACTAAAGGCATTTTGGTTGCTTCAGTTGTATCTTGCTGAAGAATATGCTTTTGGGAGTTTAAAACCCCCC